GGCGGTGACTTCAAAACTCTTCCCTGTTTTTTATCTAGATCCTCTACAACCCAGTGCCGATTCCCACCCCTCTTGCCTTCCAGAAAACCGTCTCACCACCACGAACCTACCAAAGGCCAGGCGTGGTGGCTAGACTTGGATACAATATGTAACACGAACATGTAGGTCATGAGCTGGAATTCAGCAAAGTTAGCGGTTGGCATTGACAGGGCTCAGCCACACATTGATGGACCCACACAACGATCCCTGACACTGCACCCATCCCGTACTGAAGAAGGGTTCAGCGAAAATCCGTACTGCATGGGAAGTCAAAACGCTTTGCCTGGAGGTCCTTTGGATCGCGTTCGCCGCCATTCAAATATACTAACCTGAACACACAGCGTGACAAAATACGAGAAGGAGCTCGCGAACAGCGCTTAATCATGTCACAGGCGGTGCAAGCACCAGCACCGACGATCTAAATCCAGATTTCCAAAGAGTTACGCCACATGGGCGGCCCCAGAGTGCTTCTGCGAGTTGTATTATTCGGCCTTTTCCTCAGACTCGGTTGCGGAGTCTTTGTGTGGAGTCTGGATTGTCATTCAAATCGCCTCCCGGCGTTCAGCGATTAGTTCATGACTTCGGCTTGGCTGTCTTAAAGCAGCTGAGCCCAGGCGACAACTTCAAACGACGCAAGTGGCGATAGATTGCAAGATACCGCAACAAGCATAACCCTTGCCATGCCTTCAGGAGCCCGGTCAAGCAGCAGCCCAATATACTTGTCTGGTCTACTCCGAAACTTGAACTTGGCAGTTCTGCTACCTGTAAGTGCCAGCTTCTGTGAGAATGCACCTAAAGAGTGCCTATCTTGAACTTCACAACGACCGACGAAACCTTCAGGCACTTGGGATAGTCAGAGTAAGTCATGGGGGACTCTGAGATCCATATCATCTACGCTGCGCCAAGCGAAGAAAGCGACGAGTCGCGACAGTCGTAGATGAGAGCCCTGATGATGCAGAAAACCTTCCATAAATCACAAGCGAGTTGCACGGTGAAATGCGTGCGCCCGCCCATCTCGGGCTCGTCGCGACTACCGTCCACATGCTGGCCGAACCTGTTCCGAAGCCAGATAACAGGAATGCGTGTTCGAGAGGTGCGGCCTGGTGACCTTGTGAACACTGTCACCTGTCCCATCCCAAGCAAATCCAAACACTGAAGTTTGACCTGGCCTGGCAAACCGCGTAAAGGCCTACTCGATTTTTCCCATCTTCGTGAGGCGTTGTCAATTCACGTAATTTCTTTAAGTCACCAACAAGCATCGGTGGGCCGAAAGGATCCCGGAATCTACGGTTTGGGCAAGTATCGGTGCCGCTAGGTAGTCAGCATCTAGGGGACTTTTCTCCAACATCCGGCTGAACCTGAAGCACAGCGTCCGAACGCTTGACTGTATCCTTCACGGCACGTCCACACAACCAACCCTCAATTTCTGGCCTTTGCCCCTTGACGTAGCGATAAACTCGGATGCGTGGAGAGCAGCCTCATCTTCGGCATGGTCGCAGGATCGGGCTGGAAGGAGTCGTTCGATGAAAACGGCGCATGTTGAAATGCACGCAGCTGGGCTCTTCGGGAGATTTTAAGAAAGCTTGTCCTGAAATGCGTTTGGCGTTTCCCTCAACCTGGCCAACCTTTGTGGGCGTCTGCAGATTGCAGCTGCTGCACAGTGATCTCGCATCAACCACCTGACCCGTAGAGCCCCAAGCAGTCAGGAACCCTTCTGCTGTGCAGTCGGGTAAAATCTTTCGTGTCGATTCCTGAAGGTCTTTTTCTTAAGACATGCGCTCAAAGATTCAAGGCCGAAGGCTCTGGAACGAATGACTGGAACGCGAGTAGATATATGTCCAAGCTTCCCCTGCGGGCTTTCAGCCGAGCATCTCTCTCAATCTCTTCCTCCCTCTTGCTTGTGCGCTCGGGGGCCTAAACCCCCTTATACATATATATATATATATATATATCTCTCTCTCTCTCTCTCTCCTCGCAGGCAAGAGAGAGGGTTCCCATCTGGCATGTACAGCTGCAGTAGAGTGCCTGTTCTTTCCAGGTGAAGGCCCTACTCTCTCTCTCTCTCTCTCTCTCTTACGATTTAACCACGCAGGCTTGTCATCCTTCCGTGTATCGCGTCCCATGAAGGTACAGTCCCAAAACATCAGGAATCCCGGGCAAAACATACTTGAGAACGTACCGCAGAGAAATGCCTGGATTCCGGCAGAAACAGCATTCGGCCAGAATAAATACAACGACAACTACAAACGCAACAACTCTGCGCACAGCATCGTGCACACGAGCTTCATTACTTACTCACCTAGCTTTAATAGCTCATGCGCGCCTGCATGCAACCAACGCCGCAAAGAACAATTGGCTGCCTACGAGTGTTTAACCGTGCTAACTTTTAGAAGCAACCGGAACCACATATCTGATGGACCTATGCGCGCGTGTGGATTGCTTTCAAGACAAGAGCCGACAACGCCCGTCATTTTTGGCACCCTTCAACCCTAAATCGGTGGTAAACAATCCCAAAGACCTGCCAGCTGCTACACGTCGGTTTCTACATCTCCGCGACTGAGCCGCCAAGGGCAGCCCGCGCTGGCTTGCCGACGAAATCCGGCACAAAGGCCTTCGCGGAAGTGTGAGCAGGTCCAACGACGGCTAGCCGCCTTTGCCTTTGGCTTGATAACCGCGAGTGTGCCATACAGGCTGAGCAATCCTCCCGCAGTGTGCCCAAAATTGAGATGAATCAGAAGGGGCTGGCCTTGTCGTTTGGAGGTCGGTCGCTTCCGATTCTTGCACTTGTCATGCGCGGCTTGCGGATGGCGCGCGCATGCGGACGCAGAAGAGAGACAGAGGGAGTTGAGGAAACCAAGTCCACAAAAAGAGTCATCTTGGCGCATTGGAAAGTCATGGCCATCGCATCTTCGAGTGGAGAAGCAGCTCGCAAATCGATGTCCAGCTGCCTGGGGACGCGCGCCTTTTTTTTCGACGGTTTCGGTTGAAAACGAAAAGGTACTCGTCTCGCGATGGCTTTGCAGTTGCGGATTCGAGCTTGCTGATTCGCGAGAGGATAAACACCATGCTCACAAAAGAAGTTTTGCCGTTTGCAACTGATGTGCCGGTGACGACGTGACGACAGTGCTGGTCTTGAGCTTGCCCTTCCAGCATCTTCCAGCCTTTGTCCTTTCTTGCATCTCCGCCACTTCCTTTGGCATTGTGTCATGCACTTTTCTCTGTCGATTTCGCCTGGATGCTCAACACTCTGAAGATTGTGTTGAACGATGTATTCGTCTTAGGTCCTACTACAGGAAGCTGGTTCAGCGGACGCGCCGTTCAGCAGCCGACAACTCACTCTGGTCTGAAACAGGCAATCCTCAAATCTTTGCTGCACAACGCGCTCTATCTCCACCTGGTTTCCAAAATGTCCTTTTCTTTCAAGACACGAGACATGCAGCCACAGCAAAGCCAGGGATTCTGCCATCAATAGACATGCAGAGACAAGAAACTCCTCCGCAAGCCACACAAACATCTTTCTGAAGTCACACCCTCAGTGAAATAGGGATGTCAGTGACTCATGCAATGATGAAAATGTGTTCACAGAGTTGAGTACATGTCGGCAGCCAAGTAGGAGCTCAATCAAGCAAGACTTCCTTTGAGAGCTTTATTTCGCATGGCTGGAAGTTGAACGAACACATGGATAGTTTTCTAAATTAGGGTCCCTTTTAGGCTCCTTGTTGCAACGGTGCCGTACTATATTGGGGATCTAACCGGGGACCCTAACTTATTAGAGATCTACCCACATACATGGCCTGCTGCATCGGTTGACTCAGGAACAGCCACGTGCCTTGATCCGAAGCCATATAAGATAGGCAATATCCGGGCTGCTGAACCTGCAGTCAGTCGGAGCAGGCACACGCAGCAGCAAAAGCACAAATGACAAAAACACATGTGAACCTTTCCCCTGCCAATGATGTAGTCTCACAAACCTATGTGGCTTAGTCACTCGATGCGGCCGTTGTCTCGATGCGCGTATACCGAGTTGGCCTTCTGCTTAGCCTCCTCAAAGCCCTGCCACAACCGCACTGGCTTCTCGGCACCAGCAGTTGCTACTGTGTGACATGGCTAATACAGCACGGGGGAGTCGGGAGGCGATGACGGCCCCACTTGCGAGAGTTGGCCCGTTAGCCGAAACGACTACTTCTAAGTTCCAAGCCATGTAGTTTCATCGATTCCGCCCCGCAACGCCAAACAACAGGTGCCAACTGAAGTGAGGATGTCCACAAGTAACCGCGGTCTGCTTGCCATCAAGCTGTACACAGAAGTACCAGGAGCGGGGCCTTTCTCTCTCCCCAGCTGATCCAGCCGAGGCATTCCTCCTCTCAGGGAATTCACGACCCATAGCTCTCGTCTGCTCACAACCGCAATGATGGCTTTGATTCCTAGGGGTGGCTTTGGAGGAGACGACCATGCATGCCACAGACAAGGACACACATGCATGTTGGTGGGTACATATGTGCTTGTCCGGAGTCAACTTCGTAGGCCTTGGGTTAATAAACTTGCTCAAGATGCTCACATTTTGTGCCAGTTGCAAAAAACATGTGAGTGGCTGTTCGGAAAGAGATGGTATGCGTAATTGCATGAACGATTTCGCATGTATATGTACCGATCTGCACATCCACTTGCAACTTGCTCTGTGTTTCTCTGTCGCTCTCAGCCATTGTCAACCCCACTTAGACACCCTGGACCTGTGACAATACCGGCCGATCCCAGCTCACGCAAAACCTTGCTCTGGGCAGCCTTTCCTCAGATCTACCATTCTAAATTCCTCACTTATCATGACATCTCAGACTTAGCCGTCATTGCAGGACTCTCGATTCCGGACCGCAAGATGCCCAAAACTCGGGCCTGTGGCGTGGCGCATGTATAGTAGTGCTTTAGATGCAGGTTGCAATGCAACGGGCATGTATTATGCGAAATGACGTCTATCGGAGTCCAGTGTGTCTCCTCTCTCCTGAGTTGCATTATTCCAAACACAGTGAGGTACCGCTGTAGGGCTCTGGCTCAGACAGCTACTTTCCGGCAGGAGGCCTCTGTGAGGAAGTTGTCAATCGCACTGATTCCTTCACCAAAAGTGAGACTGCAAAGATGGACCAACTTTGCCGAACAGCAAGAACTCATCTGCAAACACAACCAAGCAGAAACTATGTGTTTCGCGCGTTTTCGGGCCAAGTTGCTGACAGGGTGGCTCAAGAGCGGGAGGTGCTGCAGTTGGACCTTTCCTGGAATCACAGACAAACCTTTTTGTTGAATGAAGACCACCTCGCAAACAACGCAACGAAGGTCATGTCTCAAAAATATTCAGATATGATGACTGCTCTCACCCAGTCATGCGTGGGTGGGTGGGTGGGCGGGTTGGTAGGTTGGTAGGTTGGTAGGTAGGTAGGCAGGTAGGCAGGTAAGCAGGCAGGAAGGTCGGGTCCCTTCCTGCCCGTTTGCAGTCTTGACATAGCACTCCTAAACTCTCAAGTGTTGCATTATGCCCTGTGCGAAGACGATATAACATTTTCTGAGCCCTGTGGCGTGGCAGTCCATTGGCCAGAGAGGCAAGGCTCGAGTCTTCGGCGGCCTGTGAAACCAGGGTATTCAAAACATGTCTTGGTCTTGGTCCCGCAATGCACTGCGCATCGTTATGGCCACCGCATGGTTTGATGCATGCGAAAGACCTCCAACTCCAGCGGATGTTGATGCTAAGCAAGCACAGCATCAATTCGCAGCGCCCGGCGCAACGAAAGTCCTGACAAGAGACCGCGTAGCCCAGCCTCCTCGGCCTCCAGCAGAAGGGCTGAAGGGGGGCTGCGGGCTGCGGGCAAATGCATTTTTCCAGTATGGCTCTGTGTTGGAACATCTGCAGAACACACAATACTATAATGTATTCCAAGATCTTTTGACCATTGTTGTTATGTTGGTGATTCAGTCATTTCCGCATTTAGTGCACGTGCACGTGCACGTACGTACGTATGTATGTATG